TGTACTGATAGATAATAATGTGTCCTAATAAATAAAATGTACAGAAATAATATTTACTTTGCTATTTTGGTCTGGGACACTGCTTTCTTTCTCCTGTTGGTGCTTTCCGCTGTCTGCATGCTTCAAACTTTCTTTCTGGAACTAAAACAGACAAACAAAAAATATAAACAAAATTAAATATGATACATTTCCAAAGTGTGTGATTGTGATTTGAAAATCCTCACCTCTCTGTACTCCTCTGTCAGAAAGCCCCATTTTCTCGGCCAAACATCAGCAGAGTCCTTCTCCAACTTGACATGGGCCTTCCTAAAAACACAAAAACATATTATTATTTATTATAATACTCTTTAAACATCGGTAACTACTCATGGAGAAGCTAAATGATGAAATTAGTCATTAGTAGGTCATAGAAAATGTACAGTATTGTAAACCAACCTACAATAAAACTCTGCACCTCCATCCACAATTACATTCTCGGGGCTATGGCCTTTAAACTTGCTCTTGAGTACATTTACTTTGACTTTTCATTTTGAAATTTTACAGTAATGACCACAAAACATCAACTTCGACACTCCCTTTATTGCAGTCTGGTGTAGGGCTCCATCTACTGGCAGCAGAGGGTATTACCATGGGAGAAAAAACAGTGTAGGCTAATGAAAAACATATCAAGACGTGTTGGACTCAGGGTCAGGGGGAGCGGACTTGGATTTACCAGACCAGCCAGAACCACACGCTTTGACAAAACTTTGCAAAGATGTGTCCATCTGGAGCTATGTCCTGTCAGACAGCGTGATTGACGACCGGATTAACCAATCAGAAAGACACGTATTCCATTTGGGTAAAAACAAACAGGACGACTTACATTTAAAAAGTGAGGAAAATAATATAGTGATAGCGTATTTCTGGAGATTCAACAAGCGAAGCACTAAACTGTTAGCGTGATTCATCAGCGGGTTTCACTTCGAGAAAACCGTCTGACCTCGCAGCATTAGGATTCATTCACTCGACGCTAGGCGGGTACTAAAACTCAACAGACTCCAGGCACTCCAAAGAAGTAGAAAAAGTAAAAAAATCGCATGAGGAAAAATGTAGTTAAAAGGCCTTTATTTGAACGGCCAAAGCCAACATGTTTCGACCTCAACTGGTCTTCATCAGGGCTTAGTTAAAACAGAGCATGGGCATGACCTTTAAGCAAAACACATCAACCAATAGTAGACTGGAGTTGATTGGAGGCAGATAAAACAGGTGCTAGGCGGGTACTTTTTATTTAACCAGTCATTGCCTTTTGGTCGTGACGTATGTAATGCGCCAAATCCTGTAGGAAGAAGGGCAGTAACGTCTTTCCTCTTGATAAAATTCACCGAACATTCTCTTTGTTCCGGCTTTAAATCCTCGATCTCGGGAATCGTTGCCAACACACAATGTCTGTCTTCGTCTACATCCATCTTGACCTCTTTGTTTACTGTTGTGCTGAACCACAGACGGGACCCAGACAGACGCTTGTGTTTGACGTCATGCTTCACAGCTCTTCACTGATTGGCCAGTGCGCAGTCAACAATGGTCTAGTGCACAGGTGTCAAACATAAGGCCCGGGGGCCAGATCCGGCCCTCCAAGACCTTTAATCTGGCCCTCAGCTGATTTTCTACTAAAATATTTTAATCATATTTTCTATTAAAATATTGGTAATTTTCTGCATCTCTGAGCATATCAGTGTCTTTAGCGTCTCTGTACGTGGCCCCTCCCACCAGAGCAGCACAAATGAAGATTTGTCTCTTTCCAAACGCTCTTAAAGGACGATTGTTTTGACTGTTGACTGTGACACCCTCATCAAGAAAATGTCAAAAATTGAGAAAAGTGGAGCCGCGTGCAGGACTTTCCAAGAAAAATTGATTTACTCCTATTTGCAAACAAGTTAATGTTAAAACATTGTGTTGAAATAGCATTTTTTTCATAATATTATAATATTTTGTAAAAGAAAGAGTTCATCAATTAAAAAAGATTTCTGTAATAGATTTGCGTTTCTCGGCACAAATATTTGAACTTATTGTTATTTTGGGGTTTATATGACATGAGTTTTCTGATCCGGCCCCTTTAGGATCAAAGTAGGTTGGATACGGCCCCCGGACCAAAATGAGTTTGACACCCCTGGTCTAGTGTATTACAATTCCTGATCTAGTCGCTGGAGAGAAATGAAATTGAGCAGAGGCACTAGGTGACTACTAAACTGTTTAGCTCCGGCAGGTAAAAGAAGAGATACATTTGAGCATTTTCAAGTACAGATTTCTTTTGCATTTGAGAGACACATGATAAAAATCAGCTATGGTTCGACCTTCCCAAATCAGTATAGCATAATTTGATACATTCTCTACGGATATGTACATTTTATGCCATTCTGTAGAAGATTGTAACAGATTATAGCCAAAGGAACAGCACTAGTAGAAGTAGGATCAAATAAGAATCAGGTTTGTGGAAATGCAAGCCCTCTCAGAGTAAGGACACCTGGGTTTGTATGTTTTTCAGTGCTCTAAACACCAAAATAAATGATCATAGTCACATTTTTATACAGCGCTTTTCCACCTTTAAGACACTCAAAGAGCTTTTACTTCAAGAAACCACTCGCCCATTCACACACACTTGCACATACACAAAAATACAGTAGTGTACACAGGATTTTCACGCTCTTTTGTTTGGTTTCAGGCTCTTCTGGATTCAAACAGAACGTACAAGAGTCTGGCTGGTCGAGCAACGGATTTACAGCACAAGATTCATCAAAAAAGCATCAGTGAAGCTAAATACAACTCAAGGTATGTGTTTGATAAGGGTTGAAAGCTCCTTGTTTGTTATTAATTAATTTACTTTTTGCTGGTTTCTCCATAATTTTGCTCTAAAAACTAAAAATATATTTAAACATCTTAAAAATGTAACAAAGAATACTCAAGTTACTAGGCCTACTATTTCACAGAGCACACGCTACCATTCCCAAAACTATGTCTAATTTAAAACTACAGACGACCACGCATTTCTAGCCTTGAATTTAAAAAACAGATATATATTTTTACCAGATTTCGTCCTGATGAACATAGTTGACCGGAGCAGGAGCAGGAGCTGGAGCTGGAGCTTTCGGTCGCTCCATCGCGCTCCTCGTTCTGTGTTGGGTTTGTGCGTTGTCAGCCTGTGTCCTGGAGCTGTACAGGGATAATGTTTCACCTGCATCTATGGCTCAGTGACACCAGAGTTTACCGTCGCCGTGGAGACACATTCCCACACATATGTATCCCTCTGTGCCGCTGACAAAGTTTGGAAAGCCTCAATGGATGTGTGGGGGAAATTACATACCTATAATTTAAACGTAAAGGTACAGTGTGCAACTTATAAGTTTTTTTATGCCATACTGTGGGAGATTAGAGTCAAAAGAAAAGTACTTCTATGGAAACAAGTAAGAGTAGGATCAAGTAAGAGTCAGGTTTGTGGAGATGCAAGCCCGCTCAGAGTAAGGACACATGGTTTTGTATGTTTTTCAGTGAAATAAACACCAAAATAACAGGTCATTGTCACATTTTACATATATGTATAAAAAATGTTCATATGTTCAATGTTCGTTTCGTTTTCATTTCGATGTTTAGGAGGTCAAATTTGGGAAAGAATTCAGGAAATGTATTTATTTATTTATTTTTTAAACGTAAAACCTAGGGACTTTGACACTTTGTTTCCCGTCACAAAGGAGCTCTGGAGTCTAGAGAGCCATTTTTTTATTTAATTTATTTATTTATTATCTTTATTATTATTATGAATCCAAGTATCCCAGGAGTTATAAGAAGAGTCATGAGGCTGGAGATTTAAAGCAGGACAAGTTTATTTATATCAGTACAGGACCCAGCACCAGGAGGCATGAACCCTCAACAAATTGTGATAGCGCTGTCCATTCCAGTCTAGTCTGATTATGCTTCTGTTGTAGGGAGTATTATACCTCTGATGACGCTGGCAGCGATCACAAGGACTGAGAAGCTGGTGATGTTTGAGTTAGGTGTGATGCAGAGACCACAGCAGACACAGCGATTTTTTTTTTTTTTTTTTTTTTTTTTTTTTTTGAATGTGGATTGTAGATTTTTGTGGCTTTTTGATTTTTGAGTGTCAGGAAGCACATTTTTGATGCTCAAACAAACATGGCTCATGTTAAGGGCAAGAGAGAGAGCGTGATTATTAATATTCTCATCCATTTTTCATACTCATTATTTATAACATTTATAAGTAAGTTTTGGTTTATATAGCGCTTTTCACAGACATATGTCACAAAGATCCTTCACAAACTAACGCACATGAACATTCACACAGACAGTGACTCTTCTGCATCACTCGAGGAAAAACTAAAACTAAAAACACTAAAAAACGAAAACACTACCCACACCAATAACAATACAATGCACAATTTTATAGAGTAAAAAGGTATTCAGAACAAATACTGTCATATCCTCCTGAGACCTGGTCCATTCATTTGTGTCCTTTGTAGTGGACAGTGAGTTCACCAGTCGAACCTTTAAGTGTTTTGAGAAAAAGCCTCTTAATGGGGGGACTAGGTTCCTCTGCCTAAATAGGGCTGTCTAAGATACAAAATTAACTCAACAGGAGTTAGGAGTTAGTTTGTGGCTCCACTATGACAAGAAAAAAATAAATAAATAAATAAAAAAGGGAAGAAATTAAAAGGGAGTCAAAAAAAAAAATTGAGCCAATTGTAGTAGCTTGTCAGAGATGTTGGTCATGAAAAAAGTTGTTACTGTTGTTAAATCCATGTGAAGTTAACATCAAAATGTCCCCAGTGTCCATTACAGAGGACAGGTCACAAAATTATAAATAAAAATAAAATGAACAAAATCTAAATGCTAAGGTGTTCATTTACTTCCAAATAGATAGAAAATCACAAAAAATATATGTTGCAATACACTTTTTTTTTTTTTCCTTCTGGTCCCAGGAGGATATAAATGTTTACATATAACCGTAACTCTCAGACAGAATAAAATTTACACCTGCTAAATGTTTGGGATGTACTGTACTGTATTTTCCGAGGCAGAATGGACATTGGACCACCAGAGCCAAAGATTGGAAACAGTTTGTCTTGGCTAATTTTGGAGATGGAGTGGATGCGAGTGTTAGTGTCAGCGTCATAAAAAGTCACTTTACGTTTGGTGCAGTCCAGATGAACCATTATTCTCCGAGGACTTGACTTTGATTTCACAAGTATTTCCTTTTTACTGTGTAGGTTGAAAAGTTCATACTGGCCATCCTGAAATTCAATTCCATACCATCCAACAGCCGGGTCAGCATGATCGTCGGTGTTATGGAAAACTGATTCTGTCACCAAACCAAGTCCCCAGGTTTTACTTTCAACCTCAACTTCCCAACTATGAGAGCCGTAGTTGAACCCCTCTGAACCACGAACTAATGGCAGTTCAACCCGAGCTCTTTCAGGGTTTTTAGGAAGCACATGTTCCGCTCCAGCTTGTACACTGCTCAGATCATCAGACACGACCAGTTCTGGGTGAGCCGTGTTAGGATCCAGAACCACAGGCCTGTACTCCACCAGTTTCTTCATGTTGGTCCAGATGTTGAAGACCAGGTTGCCCAGATGTTTGGCCTGGTTTATCAAAGCTCCTGGGTCCAGTTGTGGTTCCTCCAGCAGAGGGCAGCACTGCACTCTCTCCACTGCAGCCTTGTATTTGAGCAGGAAGGAGATGTCTGTGGCTCTGAGCTCCTCCTCTGTGGCTCTGATAGTTTCTGACAGAGTTTCTATCTCTGTACTCACAGCTGCTATCTTGTCCTTCATCCTCTGAGTCTTTCGTTCTTCTTCGTCCTTCAGGGCCTTAATCCTCGACTCCTCTTGTTCTGCAAGGAAGTTATGCAGCTTTAAAAACTCTTTTTCGATCAGTCTGGCTGTGTGGTTTGTCTGGGTTTTAATGTGAGCCAAAGATATTTCACAGTTTTCTTTGAATTCTTCCATAAGTTCCAGTTGGTCTTTCAAAGGGTTCAGAGCCGTCTGCAGATCCTCTTTGCATCGTTTTGTGGCTTCATCGATGGGTCTGACCTGGTGGTCCCTGTGAGTTTCAGAGTCTCTACACACCACACAGACAGGCTGCTGGTCAGACACACAGAACAGTTTGAATGTCTCTGAGTGCAGTGGGCACATATGCTCCTTCTTCTGCTCCTGCTGTAGATAGGCCTCACACAGGTTCCTCAGAGCCAGGTTCAGTGGGGGATCACTCCTGGAAGCTCTTCTCTTACAAACTGGACACTCCTGTAAGGGCTTCTCTGTCCACCAGCTACTCACACACTCTTTACAAAGGCTGTGGCTGCAGGTCAGCACGACCGGATCTTTGAAGATGTCCTGACAAACTGGACATGTTAAGTCTTTTTCAGGTTGAAACGCCATGATGAGTCCTCTCACCCTTTTACCTACTGCTCTGAACTGCAGCACTTCTCTCTGTTTTATATCTTGAGGTGTGTCATTGATAGGGCATTTCCCACATGCTTCATTTTGTCAAACCTGTTTAACAAGTTTGTGATGCTGAATTTATGTCTTGGTTAACCCTTAGAACGGTCAAATCCAATGCCTCTACTGCTCTGTTGAACTTGGTTGTAACATGTTGGTAAAGTTAAGTTTGGTTAGTCTCAATGGTGGAGAGTGTTTCCAAAAGTCTAGGAGACCAGGGTCGACCCAAAATCAACCCAAACACAACCCAATCAAAACAAAATGTAAATGAATGGAAATTCCGCAATACTATAAATATATAAAGCAGCAATAATACTTAAGCGAAAAGGCAACACCAACTTCTTGGAAAGTAAAAACCCCTACCTGTGCCACAGTAAAAATCATGGCGAGTGTTTGTTATATTCTAAACTACAAATGCAATGTCTCTCAAATCTCAAAGTCAAAGCCACACTGCAAAAACAGACATTAGTGTAAAAGATCCTAAGGTAATTTTAAGACAAAATCTTTAAACTTTATTAGTAGATTGAAGGAAAGTTCATTGCAGCCACCTGGCCAACCACACACAAACATAAAAGGTACCAGTATTAAGGTTTTGCGTCTACATCACAAAACCACGTGACCTGGTGTTTATGCCGCTGTATTGGAGGTCGAACTTTCCATCAACAAACGTGTAGTATTTGTGTGTGATAAAATCTGAATTGAATAGCAATAGTTTTGACCCGTGTTGCTGTTGGATGTTCTGGCTGGAGTCAATCTGCTAAAGAAGGAGGCCAAAGTATCTTTCTATCGGATCCCGGCTGATAAAGATCACAGACAGAGGTGGATAGCGGCATAAAAAAAGAGGGATGGAGCCCACTGAGTACAATCGTCTGTGCAGTCAACATCTAATTTCTGGTGAGGAACCATCTCCACACAAACAAAGAAGGGAATTACAGTAAATGAAATGATATATACCAAAAGTATTTTTCTCACCGTTGTATCGGCGTAGAATCCCCCCACCGATCCCCCGTCCTCACTCACCCCCCGTCATCACTTTTGCTCGCAAGGATTCCCCCCCACCCAGGCCCTTTTTTTGCGGCATCGGTGACAATCGGTCCATAAATGCCGGAATTATCGCAGGTGGACAGACACATAGACCCACACGGTGAACACAAAACCTGGTCAATCCTTCGGGGACCAGGCAATAAAATCACAGCAAATAAAATCACCCAGAGTAAACAAGCACTTATCTTCTTACATTTTACATTTACACTGCCGGATTTAGGATATGCAGATGTTTACAACGACATAATCAACTCTCAGTGCACTGGATCGTGTTTGAAGTCTTACAAGAGTCTAGACGCCTACAAATATCTGACCTCAGGGTGGTGACTTCCAACAAACAAAATATCTTTCATAACCGCAAAGGTAATTGACTTTCTTTCATCTTACATCACCTCAGTTAGAGTAACTTGTAATGTCCATAGTCCTGCTGTGAACTCGCTTCTCTCTGGGTTAAGTGTTTAATTTTGCATTATTCTACAGTTGGATAAATTGATGATGACTGACCTCTGACAAAGCCTGCAGTGTTTTGACGGCACAGTTGACCTTCTTTAGCCGACTTGTCTGTGGTCGGGTCATAAATTCCCAGAGTTATGGGGGCTGTCCACTTATCTCGTCTGTCAGCTTCAACCGGGACCCGATACTACTGAACCCCTGCGTCTTTTCCCGTGTGGTATAGGATTTTGACCCCACGGTCAGAATCCTATTATGGTATGTTGACCCCCCCTATAGAATATTGACCCCCCCCCCCCATGAAAATCTATATTTTATTACTATAGCCGAAGATTTTTGACCTCCTTTATATATAATTGATCACTGTGAATATTCAACTAAGGCTACGTTCAGACTGCAGGGCTCAATTCCGATTTTTTTGTGAAATCCAATTTTTTTTGCAAGGTCATTAACATTTCCAATTAAATGCAATTTATATATGATCTCCAGTGTGAACATTACACGGCGCGAAAGGGTCCCACATGTGCACTGGAGACACGATGATGTCAACCGCAGCGAGCGTCTCTGTGTTTACTGAAGTTGTACAAACATGGACGCGAGCATTGAGCACCTGGAGGTTTTAAAGTTTCTCTTGTACCGGAGCCAGAACATGAACAACTTACTTGTTTTAAGGAGGAGATTGAGAAGGAGAAGGACGAGGTTTTTGGCCATGGCATTTTGTGGGGCAGTGGCAGCGACGTCCATTGAAAGGAACGTGTGGATGTGGAGACGTAGAAAAAAAAATCAGATCTGTGCCGTTCAGACTGTCATTAAAAGATCAGATACAGGTCACATAGGGGCCAAACAATTGGATTTGGGTCACTTCAGGCTACAGTCTGAATGTAGCCTAACATTACTTCTTACTTTACTTCGTAATAACATAATAACAATAATAATAAACATATTGGGGGGTTAAATATGTCAATATGTTTTAATTTGCAGATATAGTATTAATATTCAAAGTTTTTCTATAGAATTCAAGTTCTTTATTAACCCTCTGATGTCCACTTCACTGGACACATGGGTAATCGTAATTATCTACATATTGGACATAAAATTGTCATATTCCAAACTGATAATATAATACCTTACTTATTTCAATAGTCCCTCTAGTTTCTGAATAAGAGACATTTGAATGTAAAAAATCTGCCCCTGTTTCCCTCCGTTACCACTTGACTGGACCCTATAGCTGTATGTTGATTCCGGGGTCAATATACTATGGGGTCAAAATACTATAATGTGAACGATTCGAAAATGTGCCATCTTTACAATGGCGGTCTACTGGCGGTCTGGCTCGTCGCGTGCAGGGTCTCTATTACCTCTTGTGTGTGTGATTAAATGAGAAACACTGTGGAGCTGCTTTTCAAATTTTGTTTAATTTGTGCAATGACAGTAAAGGCTTTCTGATTCTGAAATGGAGAGCTTTGTCTGTCCACTCAGCTCCTCAATAATCTGATGCAACTCCCGCACGCACCATTGAGTGTATCGCCTCCATTAAACTCATTAAACTGTGCAGTGATGAAGGGAACTCCTAAGGGCCCAAGTTTCAGTGCAGAGAGCCAGGAGAACACATGTCAGTCAAAGCATACAATTACGTTTATTATTATTGCAATGAAGGCGTTTCCTCTCTGCTCATCCATGTTTTATGAGATTACAAAATGAGGTGTGTCACTTCTCATGAACACTTTCAGTTATTCTGTTCAACGTACTTGTTTATCCTTTAGCATAACCACAAAACATGCTTCTTTTGCATTTCATTAAACATGACCTACCAATCAAAAGTCTGGACACACTTCTTTCATGCATGAGTTCATGACTATTTACACTGTAGATTCTCACTGAAGGCATAACTATGAATGAACGTAGTAAACGAAAAAGCATGAAATAACTCTTTTATTTTTTATTTTAGATTCTTAAAAATAGTCACCCTTCAGGAGAATTCACCAGGAAGCTCACTGAGAGAAGTTCAAAGGTTTACAGCGTTGTCAAAAAAAAAAAGAAAACTGTGGATAATTTAAGGAATTTAACATACTCTGTTAGATCCAATGTTTTTCTTTATGCTGTAAACTTTTTACTTTTTAGATGCATCAGAAAGACATCAAATATATGGACTGAAGAATTGTGTAGCCATGAAAACATTGTGAAATAACTCACATATTACTACATATTTTGTTTTAGATTTTATATTCATATCCTTTAAAATGTCCACCCTTTGCTTTGTTAACTTTGTTGCTTTTGTCTCCTCAAATGGTTTTGCCTTGTCAGGGTCAAGAAATGCCAAAAGTGCAAAGCAGTGATCAAAGCAAAGGGTGAATGTTTTAGTTGTTTTAAGCTGAGCTAATTTGAGTTCATTATTTGTTTACTACATGTGCCCAGAGGTGGAGACTTGCGAGTCGTGACTTGGACTTGAGTCAGACTTGAGTCATTATTTTTAGGACTTGAGACTTGACTTGATAAAATGGACTAAGTCTTGGGACTCAACTTGGACTTGAAGCTCAGGGACTCGGGACTTGACTCAGACTTGATGCTTCTCCTAAAAATATATATTTATTTTTAGTAAATACTTTTCTCTTTACAGTTAAAGGAACACACTGGAACACGTCCCTCCCACTTCTCTGTTTGTTACTTTGGCAACAGTAATTGAAGTACTGCGATGTGGTGTCCTCAAATGTACTACAGTAATATACATAACAATACAGTAAAACAGAGGGAAACTACACAGAACTACATGACAAAATAACTGATATTTAGCACTTTTAAATCTTAAATCTTCCTGTTCTGACTGTAATAATTCACACTCTTGTCAAGACATTTAAAAAGGAAAAAATATATAAATATTCATATAAACATACCATGATTTGTGCCTGTGACTTGAGACGCATTTTTAAATCTGAATTTGTTCTATTTTCACTGTAATGGTTCACACTAAAATCTTGTCAAGACATTTAAAAAGTTAAAATAAACATTTCCACAACTCTTACATACTCTATAAATACTGATATATAAATATACTATGATTTTTTTATGTACAATTTAGTTTAAAATTCATATAAATTGCAAAAATCTAAGGTATATTTGGTACTTTTTTGGTTTAAAGACTTGAAATGACTTGAAGCTTAAAGCAGACGACTTGGATTTGACTTGGACTTATGGGCCAGTGACTCGAGACTCGACTTAGACTTGCCTGTTTTTGACTTGGGACTTGACTCGGACTTGAGGTCAAAGACTTGAGTGACTTGACTTACTTGAGACTTGCAGAACAACGACTTGGTCCCACCTCTGCACGTGTCCGTTCGTAGTTCTGATGCTTTCAGTGGGAATCTACAGTGTAAATCTTCATTACAATAAAAAAGTTGTTATTAATGGAAACGTGTGTCCTAAATTTTTGACTAGTAATGTACATTTTCTTAATCTCCTTTCATATATTTGATGTTTTCTGTGT